CTCTCTGCTCCTATGATGCTGCTTGGCCTGCTGTGTTCATCCAGCCCTGCACCTTGTTGTCTCAACTTTAAATATTATACATATTCCAGCAAAATCGTCTCAAATGGGCTGCATTCTGTGCTGGCGCACTCAGTCCCTTTTGTCAGGGCAGTTCCATCTGGAAAATGGATTAGTGGTTCTATTTTCTTTGTAAAAACGTAATTGGAATAGCTAAAATAGAAGGCAAAACCAGATCAAACTTAGCACATTCTAACTTTTAAAATCGCTCTTCTGAACAATGCATTAATCTTTATTGAATTATCAAGACGGTCTTACTCTGAAATACAACACTTTTCATTTCTGCCTGCATTTTGCATCCCTCAATGCTATTTCAACCACAAAAGCCCATGATCACCTAGCCTACAGCACACACATGCTGCAACAGTACAGAGATTTAGGCCTAACTAGTCATTAAACCCTTTCTAGGAAAGTGTTTAAATGCATTATTTGTCCTGGACTGCACAAGCCCTGACCAGGCTGAAATCTCATATTACCATTGGCCCATAAGATATAGGAGCAGAATTAGGCTATTTGGACCACTGAGTCTGCTCCGCCATTCGATCATGGCTGATGTGTTTCTCACCCCATCTCCTGTAACTCTTGATGTCCTTACCAATTAAGAACCTATCTCTGTCTTAAAAACACTCAGCAACTTGGCCTCCATAGCCCTCTGCAGCAATGAGTTCCACATATTAACCACGCTCTAGTTGAAGAAATTCCTCCTCATCTCAGTCCTAAAGGGTTGTCTCTTCACTTTGAGGCTGTGCCTTAGGTCCTAGTCTCTCCTACTGGTGGAAACATCCTCTTCAAGTCCACTCCATTCAGGCCTCTCAGTATTCTGTAAGTTCCAATGACATCACACCCCCGTCCCCTCATGCTCCTAAACTGAAATGACTACATAACCAGAGTTCTCAAATTCATATGACATCTTTTACATCTGACCAGATTAGTTAAAGATCACATCTTTAGGGCTTTAGTTATAAGATGACAATTGTATCTTCTTTTAAGTATGTTTTGTAGAAGTTGCCAGGAATATACAGTGCAATTCATTTACAATCTATCTTCACAGAAATAATAATAATACTGCATAATGACTGATATGAAGCCTTTCCAACATTAAGGAGTTGCCAACTCTATTTTCCACAAAATACAATAATTCCTCACTAATACACAAACACTGTTGGAATATGGATCATAAATCTGATCTCCGTAATGACGACGGAGAATTCTTGACAAATATCATGAATTCTTGTGAAAATCCATCTAGTTCACTGATGTCCTGTAGGGAAGGAAATGCTCTCTCTTACACATAACCGCACATCTACAACAAAGTGGCTGACTTTTAACAGTCCTCTGAAATGGTTTAGCACATTCAAGGGCATTAGGAACAAGTCACAAATGCTGTCTTGCCACATTCAGTAAAAGAATAAAATAATCTATCTTGGGAAACATATACTGATTCTAATTCAAACATTTTCTTCCAGTGCCATATTGCAAAATAAAGGTCATAAAGGGAGGGCTCAGCATGAGGGTGGGGAGAGGCTCAGCATGAGGTATGAGGATTTCTGTGGCAATGGTCTGGGATTGCAGCAGGTGATGTTTTGGAGTTGCAAGCACTGTCTTTGTGATGGAGAGGAATATGGAGGTTAATACACTGAACAGCATGCAGCATAATTTTTCCAGTCATTTTATAACCAACATCATATGGATAGTTTGGGCAGTTATATATAGACAGATATACATTTTAAAAAAAACTGTTTTGAAAAGCTTATAGAATAAATTGTATGTCAGATATAAGAACTGATGGATTATCAGTCCTAGGTTTAAATAGAATAAATACCTTCTCTCCTGATATCTCGTCCCTTGTGCCTTTCTCGTTCCTTCTGTTCCCACTGTTCTTTCTGCAGTTGCTCTCTCTCCCTCATTCTCCTCTCTCGTTCCCTCTGACGCTCAAGTTGCTCAAGACGGTCCCTGGAAGATTTGCCACGAGGTAGTAAGTTTATAAAAAGTATTCAAATAGAAAACATCAAGTGGTGTTTTCACACATCACACACAACAGCTCACATCAGTCACAAAGGACTTCCCTGCTCCACATGCTTCTATAAAAGGTTTCATGTGTCTATCAAAACAAAAACAAAACCCACTTAAATAACACCACTACAGAATCCAGGTAACTTTATTTCAATGTATGGATCCATACACTTCAGTTTTGAAAATCAAAGCTATGTTCTAGAAACTCAGTTTACAAACCTTTTATGGTGTAAAAAGCTTCACTCCAGGACCAAGGCCTTTTACAACACAAGATAACGTTTGTTTCCTTGCTATTTTCAATAAGGTTTAAGTCAGCATTACAGATAACTAAATATAACATATGCCATAATTTTTTTCAGGGGATTGCTGTGGACTTCTCTCGCACATAACAGGATGGCTTTTGTTAACAACAATTGAGCTCTGTCCTGCAATCACACAGGACTAATTCATTAAGCCTGTTCAGATCACTCTATTCCTCATGTCCCTCGATTTTGAGACAACAGAACTCACGCTACTGCCGGAGTAAATGTACTCAACAAGAAGCATCCACAACCTCTAGGATTGAGGATGCTAAAGTTTCGTAACCTTCTGAGTGAGACAATTTCTCCTCTTCCCAGTTTTAAATGAAAATCCCTTACCCTGAGAAGACGCCCCTGTGATTAGGTTCCACAACAAGCACAGATAATCTCTCAACATATACCCTGCTTCAAACCTCTGCAAATCCTATCTGTCTCAATGAGATCACCTCACTTTCTTCTAAACTGCAGAAAATGTGTCCAATTTACTCAGTCTCTTATCAAGAGAGGAGATGGTGTAGTTGTAATATTGCTAGAATTTTAATCCAGAAAGTCACTAATGTTCTGGGGACCCAGGTTTGATCCTGCCACTGCAGATGGTGGAACTTAAATTCAATTAAAAATCTGGAATTAACAATCTATTGATGACCCTGAAATCTATTGCTGGATTGTCCAAAAAAAAAAACTCATCTGGTTCACTAACGTCCTTCAGGGAAAGAAATCTGCCATAATTACCTGGTCTGGCCTACAGATGACTCCAGACCCACAGCAATATTATTGGCTCTCAACTGCCCTCTGCAACTGCTGAATAAGCCACTCAAGTTGTACCAATTGCTACAAAGTCCCAACAAAGGAGTGAAACCAGACAGACCACCTGGCATTGACCTAGGCATCGGAAAAGACAATGCAGAACCAGCCCTGTTGATCCTGCAAAGTCCTCCTTCCTAATATGTGGGGATACTGCCAAAATTGGGAGAGCTGTCTCTCAGACTTGTCAAGCAATAGCCTGATACAGAATCATACCTTACAGGCAATGTCCCAGACACCACCATCACCATTCCTGGATATGTCCTGTCTCACCGGCGGGACAGACCCAGCAGAGGGGGCGGCACAGTAGCACACAGTCGGGAGGGAGCTGCTCTTGAAGTCCTCAACATTGACTCTGACCCCATGAAGTCTCATGGCTTCAGGTTAAACGTGGGCAAGGAAACCTCCTGCTGATTACCACGTACTGTCCTCCTTTGGCTTATGAATCAGTACTCCTCCACGCTGAACAACAACTGGAGGAAGTACAGAGGGTGGGAAGAGTGCAAAACATATTCTGGGTGTGCGATTATGGGTAGCACGGTAAGGCAGTGATTAGCACTGCAGTTCACATCACCTGGGACCAGAGTTAGATTCTAACCTTGGGTGACTGTATGTATAGAGTTTGCACGTTGTCCCAGTGTCTGCGTAGGTTTCCTCTAGGTGCTCTGGTTTCCCCCCACTGTTCCCCCCAATGCAGGTTCAGTGATACCCAGTTTGGATTCCATCAGGACCGCACAGCTCCTGACCTCATTACAGCCCTAGCAAAACTGGAATCAATGTGAGTAAGGGGGCAAAGTCTCTGCTGGTTGGAATCACACTGGGTACCTAGGAAGATGGTTGTGGTTGTTGGAGGTCAGTCATCTCAGCTCCAGGACATCTCTGCAGGGTTTCCTCAGGGTAGTGTCCTAGGCTCAATCATCTTCATAGCTTCATCAATGACCTTCCCTCCATAAAGGTCAGAACTGGGCATGTTCGCCGATGGTTGCATAATGTTCAGCCCCACTCATGACTCCTCAGATACTGAGGCAGTCTGTGCTCAAATGCAACAAGTTCTGGACAATATGCAGGCTTGGGGTGACAAGTGGCAGGTAACATTCTCAACACACAAATGCCAGGCTATGACCATCACCAATAAGAGATAATCTAACCACCACCCCTTGACATTCAATGGTGTTACCATCACTGAATCCCTCACTGTCAACATCTTCAGGGTTATCATTACCTAGAAATTCAACTGGACTTGCCATATAAACACAGTGACTATGACAGCAGATCAGAGGCGAGGAATACTGCAGCGAGTAACTCACCTCCTAAACCACCCAAAGCCTGCCCACTGTCTACAAGGCACATGTCAGGAGTGCAAGGTAATACTACCCACTTGCCTGGATTGATGCAACTCCAACAAAACTCAAGATGCTTGACACCATCCGGGACAAAGCAGCAGCCTGCTTGATTGGCGCCACATTCACAAGCATCCACTCCCTCCACCACCGATGCTCAGTACACACTGCTGCAACTATCGCCAAGAAGCACTGCAGAAATTCAAAGATCCTTAGATAGTACGTTCCAATTCCGCGAGCACTTCCATCCAGAAGGACAAGAGCAGCAGATACATGGGAACACCACCACCTGCAAGTCCCCCTCCAAGCCACTCACTGTCACTGGGTCAAAATCCTGGAATTCCCTCCCTAATGACATTATGGATCAACCTAGAACAGGTAGACCGCAGTAGCTCACCATCACCTTCTCAAGGGCAACGAGGGGTGGACAATAAATGCTGGTCCAGCCAGCAATGCCCACATAGAGTCATACAGCTTGGAAACAGACCCTTTGGTCCAACCAGTCTATCCCAAACATAAACCCAAACTAACTAGTCCCGACTGCCTGCTCCTGGCCCACACCCCTCCAAACCTTTCCTCCTCATGTTCTTTTCCAAAGGTCTTTTAAACGTTGTGATTATACCCACATCCACCACTTCCTCAGGAAGTTCATTCCACACACGAACTACCTTCTGTGTAAAAAAAAATTGCTTTTTTAAAATTTTTCTCCTCTCATCTTAAAAACGTGCCCCCCGTTCTTGAAATCCCCCATCCTAGGGAAAAAGATAACTATCATTAACTCTGTCTATTCACCTACGTCGGATAAGAGTAGTGAAACTATTTGTTTACTACTTTAACTTGGTAAATATACATATTTGGCAATTAAAAACTTCAATACCAATACACCAAAATCTATTTGTTGTTAGAACAGTTAAAGATCAGAATATCTTCAAAACTTCAGTAGGTCCTATTAATAAAGGTAAACAAGGGTATTGCTATACCATTTGACAAATAAAAAGATATGTGCCATTTTTTGGCAAGGGAACCTACACCAATATTTTCTTGTAAATTGGATTTATAAATCAAAATTGATGAGAAGGTGCTGACAGAACTGAGAACAATGAAATAGCTGGATTCTAATGCAGTAACATTTGATACAGGGTACTGTTCATCAAGTTACTAATGATATTCTATGTTTTAAAATTAACAAAAAAAACGGTCACGTTCTCTTCTGAGATACAAGCACATATTAATCGCTAACATTACAAATTTTAACTTGATTAAACACACCATTCTGACTATACAACTAAAACCTAACATTTCTCACAGGAGAATTCTTATACAAGGTGCAATATTAGCTTGCCCAAATAAGAACGCTCAAGAACTAGATTCAGAAGTTGGAAATTTGTTTCCTTAAGCCTGCTTCACTAGTCAATAAGATCATGGCTGATTTGACTGTGGCCTCAACTCCACAAACGCACCCTCTCCAATAATCCTCGATTCACTTGCCAAACAAATATATGTCTGACTCATTCTCAATTATATTCAAGGACCCAGTGTCCACTGTTCTCTAGGTAAAGGGAATATCACAGTCTGAAGGCCAACAAAGAAAAATATCTCCATATTAAATGGAGGACGCAATCTTCAAACTGTGTCCCCTAGTTCCAAACTCTCCAACATGTGGAAACATCCTTTCAGCATCCATCCTGTCAAGTCCCCTCAGGGTCTTATATGTTTCCACAAAATTAATTCTCAGTCTTTTAAACTCCAGTGTCGACAGACTCAATCTGTCCAATCGTTCCTCATAAAATAGGCCTTCATCCCAGGAAAGATATGAATGAATGAAACTTTTCTGAACTGCTTCTGATGCAATGTGCTTTCTTAAGCAGGGAATCTGTACATTACTCCAGACGCAGTCTCACTCAAAGCCCCATACAGCTATAGCAACATTTCCTTACTTTCATATTGATTCTCTGCAATAAACACGATTATTGCATTTGCCTTCCTAATCACTTGCTGCACCTGCATTCTACATTTTTGTGATCATGTGCCAGCACACCCCAGGTCCCTTTGTACCAAAGAGGTTTGTAATCTTTCATTTAAATAACGCCAAATTTTTGTTCTTTCTGCTACAGTCGACAATTTCACATTTTCCAATGTTATACTTCATACTCCAAATTTTTTCCCACTCATTTAACCTATATCTCACTGTAGACTCTTGACAACTTACTTTTAAACTTACTTCCTTACAATGATCGTGTCATCGGCAAATTTATGTACTATTCACTCCCTTCATCATTAAGATTGCAAATAGTTGAGGCCCAACACTCGCTGTTCAGACTGTCCAATAATTATAGATCGCCAACTCAAAAAATGAACACTTTATTGCAACCTTCACTCCTGTTAGCCATCCAATTCTTATCCAAGTCAATGTGTTACGCTCTACACCAGGATCTCCTATTTTCTTGTCATCTTTGAGATGTTATCAAAATGGCTTTGAAAATCCAAGTACACTAAAACTTAATAAATTAGTCAAAGAATTTCCCTCTCATAAAACCATGCAGACTCTTCTGGACTTCACTGTGATTTTCTACATGTCCTCTAATAATGAACTCTAGCATTTTCCATATGACAGATGCCAGGCTAACCAGCCTATAGTTTTCTGCTTCCTTCCTTTCTTGAAGAGACATGTTACATCTGGGATTTTCAAACCCATTGGAACCATTCCAGAAACTGGGGAGTTCTGAAATGTAACAACTAATGTATCTATCATCCCTGTAGCCAATCAATGTCAAGTTCATTAATTAACCACCAATGTAGCCAGTAGGAGTAGAGTAACTCTTTTTTTGTACATTACCTTTCAATTTGGAAATATCTCAAAATTTAAAAAAACCTTTCATTTCACATTGTGTCCATTGCTCAATAACTTTGATAATAGATCAATGTAGAAACAGTGCTGTGTGGCCGCGAGGAGCACAGTGCAATCAATACAAAACGGCAATGTACAGATTCCATTCTCTAATTCACTGATATTCTAATTGGAGTTCAACTAATGCAGAGAGGCAGTAAGCACAGCACATGAAAGAGTTATTTGGATGGAAAGCATCTATTATAAATTAGTGGTGAAAAGAATCTTTGGCCATTTAATTATATGAGAGGTAGACGGTCTGTAAAGACGAAGTGGGCGATAATGTCTCAGCAATAGGTTAAATTAGATTTAGATAAAATATGTATCTCAAGAGTAAATGCATTCTGCTTTAGTTTCCAACTGTCTGACTGGGGACGGTGTCCAAAAAAAACTAACTCAAGCAAGAGGATATGAATGCAAATTTGCAATAATCAACATTCCTATACACATCAGGATTGATGTTTCTGTCAACGTTTCAAATCAAAAATAATTTTCAAAAGATATGTATTTTAAGTCAGTCACCAACATAGCGGATGTCAGCACCAGTAAACTTAAGTTCTAATTTAACTATCTACTTTGCATTCCAAAATCAGACATTTTACAGCTAATAGTCATTAGGTAGTCTGGGAAATAAAGCTTAAAACAAAGTAAACTGAACTCAACTTCTGCAATAGATTTCTTAAGTGCAATGAAAATGAAGATTTATTTTCATTATTGCATTTCCATGGTTAAAGTAGGTTGTATGCAAAATAATTTAGCTTGGGGAGTGCACATTTCATTAAGCCATCGCATTCACAGCTCAAGGTAATACAGATTAAATAACTGTTGAAAATAAGCAATGGCTCAACTAAATCTTATTTGATCCTACCTGAGCCTCAACAGAAACAACAATTTTCAGCCTTGTTCCAATTCATAAATTCTTCTAATACTGCTGCACTGCATGCTGTGCAGAAGTGATGTGTACATTAAAACTAAATATAGACTGCATGCTATGAACATTGCGTCTGTCTTAAGTATTCAGGGTACTGCATATCAAAGGATGTACAAGGCACATTGTCTACAGTCTATGTAGTGATCATAAGTTGCTTAATCTTCACAAAAGTTATAGCCTAGATCTCTCATTTCGAGCAGAATCAATTTGAAAACCTTCTACAGGAGCAATGGTTTGTTGAAATGTTAGTAATGTTACATTAGCTGATACAGTGGGCTTAAACTGTCAATTCCACAGGACGCAAAGGTTCACAATAGGGGGTCTTTAGCATTAAACAGAGAAAACTGCAGAGATCCCAAACACTTAACAGAAAGATGGAAAAGAGAGTAAACTCTTCACTTCTGTACTACCACTTTATGGAGGTATATTTGGTATATATCGTCCTTAGAACTTTTCTTTAAACCATTAGATATTCTTAACAGCTGCTTCACAGCCTGCTAACCCAGAGGAAAATTCTGTTCTTTCACCTTTCTCTTCTGGAATGTTCTCTGGCAAGTTCTCTCCGTTTCTGCCTTTCCCGTTCTCTACGCGCCTTATCTTGCTCTTCTCGCTGTCGTTTCCTTCGCTCATGCTCCCTCTCCTTTTCCTTATCTTTCTCCTTCCCTCTGATGTGTTTTCCTGTTTACAAACATTTGCATGTTATACCCTCTTGCACTTTAATTAAACCTAACACTATTTATCAACTGTAAATTAAGAGTCATCAAAATGGAATCAGAGAGAGTTTCTCAATTTTCTCTATCAGAATATATGTTGCATAGCAATATCATGGACTTGTAGGACAGAAGTACTCACCACGATTCTCAGGAGTTTTAATTGCTTTTTTTACACTGTCAGACTCACCCACATTGCTTCATGCAAAACGATATTCCATCTAGTAACCTTGTGACAGATGCAAAACAAGCTTTGAAAACTGAAAGCTAATCAGACCCAAAGTCTGAAATTTCCAAGTAGTAACACACGTCTTCTGGTTCACCTCATCTTTGTACAGAAACAGGAGAGGTCTTCAACCTGTTCTGACATTCAGCTAGTTGAGGGACCTTAGGATTCATGTGCACAGACCCATGAAGGTGACAGGACATATTAATAGTGTAGGCAATAAAACATATAGGATTGTGTGCTTCATAAATTGAGCATGAAAGCAGAGAATTTCTGCTGAACTCTTATAAAGTTCTAATTAGGCTACAACTAAAGTAATGCATTCAGTTCTGGCAACCACATTTTAGATAGGATTGCAGAATCCCTGAAAGGGTGCAGAGTAATTTCAGGAATGAGGAATTTTAGGTACAAGGTTAATTTGAAGAAGCTGGGGCAGTTCTCCTTGGGGCAAAGGGAATGGGGGAGACTATAGAGGTGCACATGATTATCTACCCTGTGCAAATTGTCATAAAGAAACAATGGTCCCTTTAGTTGATGGTACAATAGCTAGGAGACACAAGTTTAAGAGGACGAGGAGATTTTTTTGTCTAAATCACAGCAAGTGTGAATGGCATGGAGGGTGGAGGAGGCGCAGATGATTACGGAGTTCAAAAGGAAACAGGAAGGGCTCTTGAAGGATATCAATTTCCAGGGCTACAAAGATAGAGTAGGGGAATCGATTGACTGGATATGATGGATCAAACAGCCTCCTTCTGTGCAATAATTCTGACACGATGGAATATCCCCTGCTGAGGGCAATATATTTTGTTGGGCTTCCCCCTCAATGTGGTAGGCCACCATTTTATCAACCTCCTTCCTGGCTCTCAGCATCTCTCCAGAAAAGCCTCAACTCAATTACTTTAATTAGATCCAACCTTAACCTTCAAGAACAAGCATAAGTTATGCAAACTGGTGTCATAATTTAAACCTTTTGATTACACAGTAAAGTTACTCCAGTTCCTACTCCTTATGGATTGATTATTAATGGCCCAGGCCAGATCAGCAGCTAAACATTGCAGCCATTTGAGCAACACCAGAAGAAATAAGCAAGAAATGAAAAATAGATGCATCACCAAGCATGTTACCCCCATGCATCGAGCAGTATCATTGCACTACCTATCCTGGTTAGATTTCCATGCATCAGCAACTGTTCCATATAAAATTTGATTGAGTTCACGTTTATCCTTTCAATACAGATATTTATCCAGATCATTTCTGAAAAGGTTTGATGAATTATCATTTACCCTTTTACTGAGGATTTTCTGCAGAAAGGAAAAGACTAATTAGAGATGGGGCAGGAAATCCTTTGGGAAAATATGAAATGAGTTTTTCAGAGAGTGGCAATTGGAAATGGAAAAGTGGGGTGCAACAATGAGATAGGATAAAGAAGATATAGATAAAGAAGTAAAGAAGCAAAGAGGGACAGCATTGCTATTCTACTGTTTAAACAGAATAAACCCAATAACTTTAAACCAGCTAGTCCAGAATCAGGTCAGGTAAATTCTCTAACCTGGCTACCCAAAAACTGGCATTGCTCAAAAACCAGGCTGTTTACTGGATCGATTTTTCTCATTTTGATTTCTCAGATTGTACTGATGTGGGGAAGTAGGCAAGACATGAAAGAGTTACTAAATCTAAGATTTTTCTAACCAACATTCACACATATGGAATGGGTAGGAATGGAATCAGACCTCCTGGTTCAGAGGCAGTGACATTACAACTGTACCACAAGAGCCCAATTATTACATCAAATATGAGACAAGTTAATATCAGTTTTGACATGGCATTAACCTAAAGTACTTTGAAATCAGTGCAGTTGGTCTTATTGCATTCATTTGTCACTGGATTAGGATATTCTAATTTGAATAACACACTTTTCTGAAAACTGGCAAGTTCCCAACACTGACATGGTCTCTTCCAGAAAATGATGGATTTGAGGAAGTGTCCCTTGGAATAAGAATGCAGATTCCAGAGTTGAGGATAAAATGAACACCCAGTTAGAAATACGTTGATTAACTTGAGGATGGTTAGGGCTGGTGTCTAATGGCGCATCATGGTTTACAAATTTTGTCAGTTTTTTTGGAACAGGAGAATGGCGTGCATTAAAAATTATGGTAAAATGGCATTAATAGGAGCACGGCAATATGAATTGGAAGGTATGAGTCGATGCTTTCACTAAGGCAGGAATGCAAACATGCTGCTCCTTGCCGAGTCATAGATATTCGATAGCAATAAGAATCAGGTCCATTAAGCTAGAGAGGGTTCAGAGAAGATTTACCAGGATGTTTCCAGGAATGGAGGGCTTCAGTTATAAGGAGAGGCTGGATAGGGTGGGACATTTTTCACTGGAGTGTAGGTTGAGGGGTGACCTTAATAGAGGTTTATAAAATCTTGACAGGTACAGATACGGTGAATGGTAGGTATCTTTTCCCTAGGGTGGCGGATTTCAAGTCTAGAGGGCATATTTTTAAGGAGAAGTGGAAGTGGTGAACGTGGGTACAGTCACAAAGTTTAAAAGACATTTGGATAAGTTCATGAACAGGAAATGTTTGGAGCCAAGCACAGGCAGGGGCATTAGTTTAGTTTGGGATTACAGTTGGTATGGACCGGGTGGACCAAAAGGTCTGTTTCCATGCTGTATTTCTCTATGACTCTATAAGTGGTACATGAGATGGGAATGACCGCCTTCGACATCAAGGCAGCATTTGACTGAGTACAGAAATAAGGAGCCTTACCAAAACTGGAGCCAATGGGATTCAGGGGGCAAAGAGTCAGACCTAACATTAAAAGAAGATGGTTGTGATTGTCGAGGTCAGTTATCTCAGTCCCAAGATATCACTGAAGGAATTCTTCAGGGTTGTGTCCTAGGCTCAACCATCTTTAGCTATTTCTTGCTCCTTCCATCAAAAGGGCAGAAATGGGAACATTCACTGAAGGTTGCACAATGTTCAGCACGATTCATGACACCTCAGATACTGAAAAATACAATCAGTGTCCAGGTGCACCATGCAAGTGCCAGGCAATGACCATCTCCAACAAGAGAGAATCTAATTATGAACTTCAACATTCAAAAGCATCACTATCACTGAATTCTCCCCTATAAACATCCTGGGGCTTGCAATTAACCAGAAACTGAACTGGACTGGTGATATAAATTCTGTGGCTACAAGAACAGGTTAAAGACTAAGCACTGTGGTGAGTAACTCATCTCCTGTCCCCCAATGCCTGTCACCATCTACAAGGCACATGTCACAAGTGTAATGATGAGTGCCTGGATGAGTGCATCATTGAAACACTTAAGAAGTTTGACACCATCCAGAACAAAACATCATGTGGGAGAAGCACCACATCCAACATTCACTCGCTGCACCACAGACACACTGTGACAGCAGCTTGTATCATTTATAAGATGCAACTCAAAGCTTCTCATACTACACCTTCCAAACCCACAACCTCATCTCTCACAAAGACAGCAACAGATGATGCACGGACACACTATCAGCTGCAATTTCCCTTCCAAGTTACTCACCATTCTGATTTGGAAATATAATATCATTCCTTCACTGACAAACTCCCGAATTCCCATCGTAACACCATTATGCATGGACCTACACCCCCGAGGAACTGCAGCAGTTTAAGAAGGCAGCTCACTGCCACCTACTTCAGAGCATTTAGGAATGAACAATAAAGGCTAGCATAATCCATGTTGCCCTCAACAAAAAGAATATTTTCAAAACAAAACTTTGCAAAGGATACAAAAATAGGGACTGTTGTTAAATGACAAGAAGCATAGCAACTTCAGGAAGTTAGATAGATTAAAAGGCTGGGCAACAGGTGTTGGATAAAATTTAGTACAGATAATGGGGACTTAGCGTACAGTGGTAAGAGGAATGAGGCATGCATTATATATATGTGTCCAAATGCACTTATAAATATACACATACATATAAACAGCAAAACTTTAGAACATGTGGGGTTTCAGATACATAAATCTTTAACAGTAGAAATAGGGGCAAAGAATACAAAAGTGAAGGACTCATGCTAAACCTACGCAACAGACTGCTCGACTGTTGTTAAAATATAGCATGGTGACACGACTTGGGAAGTAAATTGTACCTCATCGTCCTTGTGCAATAATTTAATCACCTCCATTCCAGTATGAAATTCCAGTAGTGAGCATGAGGTATAAAATACAAAGCCATGCTGATCATTCCTTATTACTGCTTCAACATCCTGCACAATGCTGAAGCCTTTTTTTCAGGAGAGTCGGTAGACCAATTGCAAGTTTCATTGGCTCATTCCTTAAAAATACATACATTGGGATAACATTCACAATCCTCAAGTACATCTTCTGTATTTACAGACCTCCTAAATATATCAATGAGAGCCTTACCCATTTCTTGGCTCATTTCCTTGAAGATTTTAAAGTTCATCTCATCTGCCTTAAGTGCCCTGTAGACATTAAATTCTTTGAGTTTCTTCGTAACAGTCTTCGTTTCCCATGATTCAGTTCTGAAGACTGTTGTAAAGAATTCATTTAACACTCTGCCATTTAGTAATCCCTCAACATTTCTATCCAAATATCCCTCAAACGCTTTTCCTAGTCTTTAACCCTCTCCCACTTCAAACACAAGAATAAAAAAAATTCTGAGGATCGCTCTTTCATCTGTCTTTTGTTCTATTATCCTCACAGTCACTAAGTCATCCTCAAATGACCTGACTCCTCACCAAAGTTATACCGTCTATGGATTCTTGTTTCAGTCACTACAGTCTTGACTTTGCGATTTTTATTTCCTTCACAAGACTGTATTCCCATTCCACAGAAAATTCTGGCTATAAAACAACCCATTTATTTGTTGTTCTATTGCCTAGCATTCTTCTGGTATGCTTACTTCCCTAAAATCTTATCGGATTTCTTGGTCTGATTCTTAAATGGAATATTAAAATTAAGCACAAAACTGTCTACTGACAAGTTAAATTTGCTTTAGTCATCCACAAAATATTACATTTAACACACCATGCATAACTAATATCTAAATTTCAATTATACTGAGGCTAGTTAAGTCTATAAAATTTAGTATTTTCACTCTCTCTTTCCATGACCATTTTCTGTCCTCTGGTTTGAGGCTTGTTCCACTGATTTTCCTACGGCACGCGTGTGTGTCTTAAACAGCTCCCTGTCTACCTCCCAACAGTAATATATGAGCAATTTCCACCCTCACTACTTCTGCTGCCTTCTTTACGGTTGCTGCTAATCTTGTTATCTTTCACCTCACGCGACAGGCATACTTGTCCTTTATGACTGAAATCATTTTTTTGAGATGACCTGTTTATCTTTCTTCCTCTTATTACCAAAACCAACATTTACGTAATCTAAATATCTTAAAATTGTGTTTCTTTACTCTGGATATTGCATTGTCCAATCACTCATGCATCCCAAGTATTTATTTACCAAAATATTTAACAAATTAATTATTTCCCTGCTCCATCTTAAAATTACTGAACAGAAGTGCATTCTACATGCTTAATGAAATTCAAAAACTATGTATTAAGCAAAAATACCAAAAATTCACTTTACAATAGTTTTCAAAATCAAACAAATCTAAAAATTCACAGACACCTGACACTACGTATCCAAATACAGAAATAAGTTTCACATTGTGTAAAGTTGTGTAAAATAAAACAACCATCTCTCACCTTCAGCTGATCTGCTTCGATGTCTTCGCTTTTCCTTTCTCCGTTCCTCTTTTCTGTGATGTGATTTTTCTTTTTTAGAGGTTTGTTGAGGAGGTTTTATTGCCAAAGAATCATCCTCCTCACCTCTATGCAATTTTAAAAAGAAACTATTATTAAAATCAATGCAATTGATCAGCAAATACAACGCTTACCCTTGGTCTGTGAAACTGCTGCATTACATTTCTACAGAATTGTTGCAAAATGCACCTGGGAATTATATGGCTCAAGACCACTAAAATAGCCACAAAAAACAGGTTGTTTTGCAGTACTTAACTTGAATGCTGCTGAGAAAAGACAGTTTGTTGAAGCTTTTAGTCTTGTACTCATCTGCACATGGAAAGGGAAGGAACAATTTTATACTGTACGAGACATTTGCAACTGACTGACCATACCCAAACAGCCCAACTTGGCAAAACTCAATAGTGTCCAACATTAGATGTGATTCCACATTGGATAACATTTGCTGAAAGTCTGAAGTGTACTAAAAATTACGCTGATAACGATAAGATTGTTAGTTGGGCCTACAATGTAGCCATGCTTGTGCATATTGGAAGGAACATGTATGAATACATTAAACCCTGTTTATTGCTGACAGAAAAGAACACACATATATATTGTGTTAATTTCAACTTAACCCAATAATCAGGAGCCATTCTCTGGTTCATTATTTGAGGAAAGCTTTGGCCAATCAGAGTCCATTTGCTTAGTTTAAATTTTTAGCAAAGCTTTACAGTTGACTGTCAGTGATCAACTAACTGGTACATGTGCCATAGCAACACCTCTATCAGAGTACATGTACCAACAAATCAGTACTCTCTTCTCATACCATATAAAAATGTTGTTCCCTTTTACACTGGTATTCTTGCAACATTTCTGATGAACACAAAACACAAAAGGTTTGACAATGTGTTTTGATTTTATAGTAATGCTAAAGATAGGAAAGTTATCTAGCCAAGACAAATGGTTTACTTCAAATTAAGTTTCCCAGTCTTACCCTGAAGAGAGGATAAACATTTGATTGTTTTTCTATGGATATGATTAGAAATTTAGGGCTTAAACCCTGTACAATGAATTGTATAATGTAGTAAAAATGTATCTTCTTTACTTTGTGAAGGGTAACAACAACCCACACAGTATGGTCCCACTTTCAGTTAATATAAATTGACCATGTTTAATTTAAAAATCAATGGATAATGACAAATATACTTGTAATCAAAAAATGGCTTATCCAATTATCAAAGGATCATATGTTACATATTTCTAGAGTGCACTTAGTGGTTTGATGAGAAAAACAGGCAGATAATTGGCAGGTATTTTTAAATATTTGTACTGCGTTTCCTCAGTGAAGTGTTTTGTTTCTCACACCTGAAACTTGACATAAAATGAAACTATTGTTAATTTAATGGTTATTACTACAAAACATGTTTTTCATCTAGTTCACAGACAGAAGCTATACATGGGAAAGTCAATGCCAAAAAATGATCAAAGGTTTTACTTTCATGGGCACTTGGGAAAGGAGCTGCACTACATCAACTGATGACGTTACCAAGCATAAAAACAAGAGACTACAAGACCTAATTCATGTCAATAACATAATCCTCAAACTAAAATACATTTTATAATGGACCAGCCTTCTAATTAAATAAACTGCTATTTTTAGAAGAGAAATTGCCAAATAAGTAAGTGTTCTTTGGGTTATTTTTAATAGGTGGTTTCAAAACACAATGAATGGATCACACAAAAATCACATTTAAGCAACAGGTGGAAAACATATTAAGCTTGAAGAGGGGGGGATCCGAACAGGATCAGACTAGTGAAGGATCTACATTAAGGGTCAATGATTCCTTTCACTGGTCTGCAAAGGAAAAAGCATTTGGCCTAAATTTTTTCTTTTTTAAATAGGCATTTATATTGAAGTTCACTGGGACGACAAGGAAATAGGCGTTTCTTTTTAAATTGGAAAACATACCGATCATCTATAGATCCTTCTCGTCGGTGTGGTGAATTGCGTATAGTTATCTCCATCTTGTCTTTGTGTTCCTGAAGCTCTCCTTCCTCCAGTGAGTCCCGCTTAGAATCCCTGTCATCCAACTGAGATATATAAAAATAGAATAGTAATTCAGGACTAGTTCACACTGCTAACATTTTAGTTTTCACATCTTGTCTACGATACTTTCCCATGATCTAATTAAACGGGTCTTATGACATTTTTCATCAATTTCCACAATCGTTTTTTTCAAAACCATCTACACTTTATTGAAATTTTCTCATTATTTGTGGACTTGAAATGTCATGAGTTACAGAATGCCAAGGTTTGCAAAGAATCTAAAAATGAAAACAGTGGCATAGAGAAGTCACACAAGTTAATTTGTGTACCTGATACCACAGAATTTGAGAGTTGTTTTTAGCAGCCAAAATGCTCTTATAGCATTCAACATTCTGCAGCTTAACCATAGGGAGTGTTAAAAGCCATTTTCAAATTTACAAGGTAAATTAAACTTCCATAAAAACAGTAGCAGTTGCTGGAAAAGGGATCTGTTTCCCTGCACCTATGTTGCAAAGCACCAAACTTCCTGCAGAAAAGTACTTCACATTCACAAAATACCCCTTTATTGTCACCTCCTTAAAATATTTTCTTTCTGCTGGCAAATTGAAACGGACAATAAAAGGACTCCACACATTTACTCATACTATTTTGAAAACAAGACATCTTTGATACCTTAGCAACAAATGTTGACTAATAATTTAAAGCCATATATTTTTAAAATTTTCATTACGTTTCTACCATTAGCATCAAGTATTGAATATACTGTGTATTTGTGGAATACTTTCACTAAGGTGAAAAATACTTCCGCAGTTTATTGTTAACTAAAATCCAAAGTTCAGGTTGGCTTTGAAACTTGTAGTTTTCGCATCATGACATGCAATTACTTTCAAACAAGAGTTCTTGCACTGCTGATTAAAAGATAACCGGCAGCAATTTCTCTGGGTTGGTGAATAAACCAATTGGGTAGCAACCTAGTGAGGAGAAAGCACATATGGAGAATAAAGAAAGTTCAGAGATGCAATTACCATAATAGCATTAATAAACAAAAATTACAAGGGATTAAAAGATTACACAAACTAAGGTCATTTATGGTGAAATATAGAAGGTTAAAGCTTGATTTGATGGGCATTCAAGATATTATGGAAAACAAAGATGTTAGATAGTTTCTCCCTCTATTTCCACTAGTTAGAGTTAAACCTTTCAGGAGTGATATCAGTAAAGACTTTCACACACAAAGGGTGCTGAAAGTTTGGAGCTCTTTCTTTAAATAGTATTTTAAAAACTTCTTACATGCAATGGGACCACTGTTGGCAAGGCTGGCATTTGTTGCCCATCGCAAACCATCTTGAGCTGAACTGGCTCTCTAATGCTAGATTAATTGCAATACTTAAATGAATGCTAAAATTTTGTTAACCAAAAGGTCTTAAAGGATGTGAGGCAAAGGGCAAGGGTTATATGGAGTTAGGTCAGAGATCATGATCTAACTGACTGGCAGACCAAATTCAAGATGGCTAAATGGTCTTCTTCTTTTCATGTCAGTTTAGAGGGTAAAGAAAAGCCTATCACAAGATGCTGTTTATGTATTCTGTTCACGAGTGTGAGGAAAAAGTTACAAAAGACACCCCCAAATATATTCGGCCCTTGGATTGAATGGGCTTTACTGTAGAGCAATAAACACTGTCAAGGACATTAGCTTGACACAAATCAGGAAATCAAGCCTCTTGCAGAGATGGTGATAACTTAGTTTGCAGCACTTACTTTAGAAATGTTACATTTTATTATTTTCATTATTTATATCTACTGTTACTAATCTTTCTTCCTTGTAAAAATGTAATTAGAAATATTTTACTTATCTTGCTCCTTTTGCCTGAAAGTGGTTTTCCAGACGTAGATAGGTTTTTAAAAACTTGGAGTTTTCCAGGCAAATTTAAAGCCCAGACCTTTAAAACTTAAGTGATCACATCATAGATACGACAGCTCAACCTTGAAGGTGCTGTCACACATGACAACTTTGCAGAGACTGCGAACAAGCATCCTTGTTGGGGACCCAAATACTGAATAATAGACAAGTAAACATGACCATTACACTAGGAGAGTTAAAAAAAACTAATATAAAGTACTGACAGGATCAAATAAAATTCAATTTTTTCAATTTGTCTTTTAATTATGACAAACCTATGAAGTAAAATGGGATTGAATTTAATAAATTCAGACCCTTTGCCCTGGAGAAAATTAAATGATTTGGATGGAAATGGTCAGTAAATTTGCAGGTGACATCAAAATTGTTGGCATAGTGGACACTGAAGGTGGTTACCTCAGAGGATGACAGGACCTTGATCAGATGAGCTGAGCAGTGACAGATGGAGATTAATTTAGATAAATGCGAGGTGTTGCATTTTAGTAAGGTATATCAGGGCAGTACTTATACACTTAATTGTAGGGCCCTGGTGAGTGTTCCCAAATAAAGAGAACTTGGGGTACAAGTTCATTGTTCCTTGAATGTGGAGTCACTGGTAGACAGGATAGTGAAGGCAGCATTTGGCACGCTCACATTTGTTGGTCAGTGCATTCAGTATAGGAGTTGGGATGTCGTGTCGTGGCTGTACAGGATATTGATTAGGCCAATATTAGAATAATGCGTTCAGTTCTGGCCTCCCTGCTATAGGAAAGCTGATGTTAAGCTTTAATGGGTGCCGAAAAGATTTAAAAGGATGTTGCCAGGGTTGGAGGGTTTGAACTATAGGGCGAGGCTGAATAGGCTGGGGGTATTTTCCGTGGAGTGTTGGAAGCTGAGGGATGACCGTATAGAGGTTTGTAAAATCATGAGGGGCACGGATAGGACAAATAGCCAAGGTCTTTTTCCCAGGGTAGAGAAGTCCAAAACTAGAAGGCATAAGTTTGAGGTGAGAGGGGAAAGATTTGAAAGGGACCCAAGGGGTAATATTTTCACACAGAGGGTGGTGCATGTATGGAATGAGCTGCCAGAGGAAGTGGTGGAGGCTGGTAGTGAGACCATTTAAAAGGCATCTGGATGGGTACATGAATAGGAACGGTTTAGAGGGATATGGGCCAAATGCTGGCAAATGGGACAAAATTAATTTAGGATATCTGGTCAGCACGGATGAGTTGGACTAAAGGGTCTGTTTCTGTGCTGTAAAATTCTTTGACTCTATAAAAAGGATGGTATAGATTTTAGAAACCAAACAAATCAATACAAGTCATAAATATTTCAAGTATAACATATGACAATACCATATACTAATTCTTACAGCAGGTTAGCAAGTAACTAACTATATCACCAGAAAAATGGAAAATAACTAACCAGAATTCTGGATGGGCACCTCCTCAGCGAGGGCTATAAATGAACCGAGAAAGATATATTTTTCTTGCAAGAGGGTATTCAAGTTGTGATTTATGCAATTAAATGAAATTTATTTGCTATCTGAAGGGTACCTTTATGATTTGTCTCTTACTGCTGTTAGGAAGGGAGATGAAAGATTTTGAAGAGCAATTCAGTTTCGAGTCTGAAAGCTGTGTGGTTTAGAGGATAACTAATAATTATTTGGGTGATGTTCCCATGAATCTGCTCCTTTGTCCTTTCAGGTAATAAAGGTACTGGGTTTGGAACGTACTGTATAAGGAGACTTGGTGAACTTATTATTAGATATAACATTGAGAACACAGAAAAGAGGAGGAAGAATAGGCCGTTCGGCCCTTCAAAATTGCTCTGTCATTCATTATGATCATGGCTGATCATTTAACTTAATAGCCAGCTCCTGCTCTCCTGCTATATCCTTTGATTCCTACAGCCATTAAGTGCTATATCCATCTCCTTCTTGAATTCATATAATGTTCTCACCTCAACTACTTTCAGTGGTAGCAAATTCCACAGCCTCACTACTCCAAGTAAAAAGCATTCTCCAAATCTCAGTCCTAAATGATTTTTCCTGTATCCATAAAACTGTGACCCCTGCTTCTGGACTCCCCCACTATCAGGAAGATCCTTCCTACATCTACCCTATCCCACCTTGTTAGAATTTTGTAGGTTTCTATGAGATTCCCCTGTTCTTCTGAACTCCAATGAATATAATCCTAACTGATTCAACCTCTCCTCATACGTCAGCTAGCCATCCCAGGAATCAGTCTGATAAATCTGACTTATCAGCTTTACTCCCTCTATAGCCAGAACATCCTTCCTCAGATAAGGAGGCCAAATATGCACACAATATTCCAGGTATGATCTCACCAAGGCACTGCATAATTGCAGCAAAACATCCCTATTCCGATTTAATGATTTTCCAATTTCACTACTTGTCACAATTTCACTTGTCTGTTGCTAGCCAGATAGACTAACATACTCAGGTTACCAGAAATATCTTTATTCTTAAAAAGTAGTACAGGACATCACTTTTCCCTTCTATACCTTGTAGCAAAAGGGTAATTCAGAAAGACAGAACAAAACAAAATGATGCACTAATTAATCAACTTCAAACCTTGTCAGAATTAACCAATTTAATACTTACTGCAACAAAGCTGAATGTTACAGTACAAGATGGCAAGGCCACAATTCATTCATATGGTTCATTAGAAAATTCCTGTCTTTATCCAACTTCAGTGAACATCTGCCATTGGTTAACTCAGAAGCAGCATCATGGATCAAAAATGAGTACCCTCATTTAAGATGGTGCTCGATTTTGTTAATCACTAATGGAATATGTCACTTCTATAAATCATCACCTACAAAAAAGTTAATATTTACAGTAAATTTATTTTTGCTAAAAAGACAAGCAGTTTTTGGTAAAATGACCCAGAGTAGCAGAGAAAGCAATAAGTTACAGTTCCACTTGAGTTTTGCTATTTGTATTAGCAAGTTTTATGGGCATCTCTAGAGTACTGATATATAAGCAATCTGTGGATTACTATCTGCTGCATTCTCCTATTCATTCAACTATCAGTAAGGCTTGTATCAGTTGACTCCTGACGTAATGAGATCTCATACTAACAAACAGGATTTCATTACGATATCTTCCCACTCTAACACCATTTTCAAAAGACTTTAGCATTAACTATTATTGCAGAAATAAAGCAAATGCAGTTTCATCATTATACTCTGCAGTCAATTTTTAAAAATTATTTAGTTTACTAACTTTTGGAAAGTTACAACCATGAGCAGACTCTTAGTTGAAAGCCCCTCCCCGGAATGATTCCACATGCTGCACGAGTGATGGATAGTGAATCTGCATCCTGGCCCCTACACAGCAAGCTTCTGAGCATGTCAATCTCACAACTGTCAAGTGGAACAAGGACAACTATAGGACTGACGAATCTATTAAAGGTAAGAATATAGCTTGATTCAACACTTGCAAACGATCCCACGATAGTATAATTCCAAACAGCTTCTCATGCAGGAAAGCAAAAGATAGAACAGGCACTATCAGAACTTTGTCAACACCCTACAGGAGGTGGATTGAGAGTGGAGACCACACATGAACAGAAGTTGGGCATGTGATTCTTAGATTCAAATAGTAACTGAATTCTACAAATAGTTTTATGATAATTATTAAAGTAAGCAACACCATAAAAATGCACGAACTTAGGATACAAAATACTGACAGCATTACTACTTACATTTTTTGGACGTTTCACATCACCCTTTTCCTCCTGCTCTTTTCGTCGTTTCTTTTCCTGCAAAATTTCTTCAAGAGTTTTTACTTTCCAGTTATCCTTTTCATCTCCCATTGGGACAGACCACACTGAGCTAAAACAGAATCAGTTACATGCTAGTCATTAGGTTAGGAGAGACATAAAATCTTGTCTCAACCGTTTCATGCTGGACTTCAAAAAAATCTTTTAAAATGTTATACGTGGACTACTCATAGTTCTTAATGCGCAATGCAGACAAGTTCTTCTTTCTGATCTGCTAATGAACTACACAGAGTCTCAAACACCTTTTCTCCAAAGAATCCTGCCCCTTCTTACTACAGAAGGTTCTTGGAAAAATAAATTTCAAGTCAAACTTACACCAATAGATAAAATTTATTTTGCTTCTATCAATACTAATTCCAGCTTGCAAATTGGTATCTACTCCAATTAAATAAATGATTCCAAGCATTAGGGCAGAGACTGAGAATGACTTAAAGGCCAATGATGGTCATAACGTAGTTGAATATTCAAGAAAATTCAGTTCAAAACCTTTTTAGAAGCTATACTACATACCTCAGTAAGCACATTCCGCTCGTTACAATTTTGATCCATAAGATATTCAATACAAGTATAAAACAAAGTTAACTTGGATTTCAAAGCAATTTATAAAAGTACATCTTAAGAAGTATTCCAGCATACTCATAAGCTTTTTGTTTGGTACTAAGGTTATCTTTCATCCTACTCAAATAACAGCTCAAGTTACTTTTAACAGTAAAATCTTTTCAAATTAGTGATGGAATTTGAACTTAGATGGACAAACATCAAGCTATTTAGACAGTGACAGACCACACTGTTCCAATAAGCTTATGCAGGTAAAAATAAATACCTGCACATCAATGTACTGCTCACTCTTCAAGAAGAATCTATACTTATTTTGAACATGTACAATTGCTCTGATACAGGGGTACATCCTAGATCTTGGATTAGATAATACCAAAAGTCAAATTATTACTGCAGTACAGTGGAGTCCTTTTATTGTCACTTCCAATTTGCCAGCTAAAAAAAGTGACAATAAATGCTAACTGTTCCCCCAAGGGATAGTATTCTAATAAAACATTTAAAATGAAATATCCTGCAAAATCAATACAAAATAAATAAGAACAACTTTTTGCAGTAACTGCTACTGCCATTTTTGTGGAGATTAACATTGTTCTAACATCTAGAAGGATCTGTAAACAATTGTATCAGACCAGTTACGCTGTAATACAGCACCGCAAAATTACTGCAAAACCTCATACAAAAACATATTAGAAACTTAAAGTAAGCACGTAACTATATTTGAACAAATTGCATTTTTTGCATTGTGTGTTGGTTTGTAACTACTCATTTGTAAATTTCATTTCCCGATGAGCCTTGTCTCCTCAATTGTCAATAAATTGGACAGATCAGAATTAATGCTTGGTTTGAAAAAGCTCCCATTCAAGTGCCTTTCCTTGTTCCTTGATATGCAGTTAACCTGAAGTGACAAAAAAAAATCAGAATAAAGCCTACATGAACACGAACATTTGCGTGAAAAGTTTAAAAACCTGGCAGGAATTGACAATAAAAATGGCAGCATTTTTCGACCAAAAATTAACTGGTGTCCATTCATGAGTTGGAATTTCACATAAATTGTTATGATGAGACAGAAAAACATGGACTCCACTGTACTTCCAACAACCCATCCATGGAGAATTTAAAGGAAAGCTGCACATTAAACATTTTCCAGCAGAGAACAAAATCTATATAAAAACACTATGCAACACAGAAAATACAAAAGTAACTTCTATCACTAGAATGATGCTGCTACAAGTGTCATTGTAGTGACTGTTCAGACTTACAAATAAACTCTTGCTCCAAGAGAACTGCAGATGTTTATGTACAGCACACTGAAAGCAAAAGGTATGAAATTAGCGGGTTATTTTTATTTGAAATGCATCTTTTATTAACCTAGTGTACAATGTAAAACCAAACTGAAAAATGTTTACTTCGGTCATAATATGCTTATGCAGCATTTTGTGAATCACAAAGCTTTACCCAGGTTCAATTAGTAAAGATCAAATTATTTCATTTCAGATAATGCTATGAAAATTTCTCAAGAACTGCCACCGTGTTTAGGAGTTGTACAAAGTTTGAGATCATTCAGAAGAATAATTTCTTACTTAATTGTCCACCATTAACAAAAAGTGTTAACCTTCATTACTTGAAATGTGCAGGTTCGTGCTGTTTTCATTTCAGAAACAAAGGCCACTGAAAGAAGCAAGTTAATGACTTCTCTGCCTGTATGACTGCCTTGAAAGGATGTGGGTGATAAAGTAGTATACATAACGCTGCAGGAGATTATTGTAGAATCAACTTGAAAATAGAATTAACTTTGCCATATGACTTTGCATCCAAACCATACTCTTAGCAAGTTATTATGTATTTACGCTCATGAGAAAATGATAAACCAAGGCAGTATCATCTATCAACAGGAATTAAATTTTGAATCAACTTTTAAGTGATAAAAATAGATTACCAATTATAATGGCACTAGATCCAGCTCTCTGCTATAAACAAATAAAATCCTCTGAAGCATGGGTGTGTCTCATTTGGCACACTTACAACCAGAGCTAAATGAAGTACTGATATGTCAACTATAAACTTCCAACAAACAAACGAATCACTGCTTTCTAATAATGAGTAAGTGAAGGGATATCTTAAGCAAGAAGTCTAATTACAAAAGTTAGCTCATCTGAGCCAACACAATACAGCATATAAAACTACTCAGGGTTACTGAGTGAAGTGATCTTTACAGAAAAGTGTATGTACAAGACAGTATTAATCCAACTAGATTTGGACTCAATTTTGATGCCTTTCACAAGCAAATAACCTACCAACACTCCTGTCCAGGTTCAAATATGAAGAATAGATACTTGGGTAAGAAACTAGGGAACTGCTATCACTTATGCACCCATACAGTCAGCATCTTCAGGATAGGAGAGACAAATGGAAAATAAAATTGAACATGTAGCATTGTGCATGTAATTGTCTCATGACACTTCTAACATTGATCATGACTACATCATATTATTAAGGTGAAAGATTTAATAGGGACCTGAAGGGCAACTTTTTCAGAGTGTAGTTCGTATGCGGAATGAGCTCCCAGAAGTGGTAATGCAGGTACAGTTACAACATTTGGATAAGTAAATGAATAGGAAAGGTTTAGAGGGATATGGGCCAAACGCAGGCAAGTGGGACTAGTTTAGTTTGGGAAAATTAGTTGCCTCGGATACATAGGACTAAACGGTCTGTTTCCATGTTGTATGACTCTGGCTTTAAAAAATGTTAGCAAATGCATTCTACTATACTGAGACAGTGGGCACAACATCAAAATTCCAAATGAAACTCAATATCAGATCTTTTCAATGGCTACCTCGAGCCCGCTCACTCACCTTCCCCACTGCACCAAGATGTAGCCTCCAAATTAAAACACTTTTGTCCTGAATGGGGTAACTAAAAAAATCAAAGGGGGAAGAATAAAAAAAAAGTTGATGCGTCCTTTCAGACTACTGTAAGAAGCAGTCCATCTTCAAATTCAGTACTTATTCCTTCCTTTTAGGCCCAAGTTTATTGAAAAAAAATCTTGAGGGGCAGGTTCCCCTGAGACAGTGGACAAGGTTGAATGCTACAAATATTGCGGCATCTCAAATGTCTCCAAGAAACCAAGGCCTTATCCGCCCCAGCAGTGGGTCGAAGGGGTATGAGAGGCAGCAGCTGGGCAGGGACCGGGGGCGGGCTGGCTACTCAGTCCCGCGGGGCCCTCACTACGCGACGCCGCAGCTTGCTTCGGGCCTACTTCGCCACACAGACGGCGTGACGGTAAATACGGCCACCTTCACGCTATCTAATGCTGGGAGCCGGGGGTAGCAGAGGAGAACTCCACCCGATTCAGACCCACTTCACCACCACCTTCTTTTTCTTCTTCCTCCCTCCTTCCCTCGGCCTCAGGCCTCAAGCCTCACCCCGTTCCCTCAGATCCCCCGCCGCCCGCTCCACAGCCGCGGCGTCGCACCCGTTATGCGTCACCTCCAGCGCGACGCTGCTACCTCGGGCGCACGCGCGTTGAGTGTCCTTTTGCAGCCTGAAAGTTTTGCAGCAAGTGTGGAAAAGTTTGCGCAAGTTTATTTTCTCTGGACTGCGATGGTTTCTCCAGGCGGAACAAGACGGATGCAAAGATGATCGCCAGGTTCAGGATGGGTAATCAGTGCACGTTCAAGGTTGCTCTATTTTATACTTTTCAGCACCAAGTTACTGGGTTTCAGTAAATGCAGAGTTTGATGTCCCTTAGCCACCAAGATAGCAGAAATGATTGCAAAACGTCAAAATCTATCAGTCACTATAAACGCTGCAAATTTGCCAGATCATTATGAAAAACACACTAGCAAACCTACAAAACTGCCAAGGAGCTTCAATGAAGCTAGTAGCTCAAAACAAACCTGAAAAAGTCTTCACTTGAGAAAAAATATTTGTCAAGTGTTTGGTGAATATGCAGCTTGAGTCTTGACAAGTTGAATAAAACAACTGCAGATGCTCGAAATCTGAAACAAGAACAAAAATTGCTGGAGAAGCACAATTGGTATGACAGTACAGAAAGCAAAGTTAATGTTTCAAGTCCAGTGACCCTCCTTCAGAACTTGATCGGTTTAACCAGGCAAAATATTGAAGGTAACAAAATTGTGATTTTTTTTCCATAATACATTTAAGGGTGGCCAAATCAGATTGAAGACATGCTCAATGATTTCATTCCAAAACAATCTGATCATACAACATTTGTAATTGTTACATTTACCATGTGAAAATTGGAGAACTGGTGTTTGAGGAGTAACTTCTTCACTTTAAACTAGCAGCTTTGAACGAGAAAGACAGCAGAAAACTTTTAGGAATGTCCTCAAAACTTCCTTGGAAGAGGTCAATAATCACTATTGACTCATGGGAGATCCTGGCTAGTGTCTGACAAAAGTGGAGAACATTCATTTAGAGATGCAGGGACCACATCAAGAAATATCATCGGGAAGCAACTGTAGACCCAAACGTTCAATGACCACCCAGCTCTACATGGCAGAGTCTACATCGTGCCTCACTGGGACTGTCTAAGAAGAATGATTGTTTTTCCTGGTTTTGTACTTGAAGCATGCTACCTGAGAAGTTCCAACAACCAGCAAGTTAGTTAACAGCGTTTGCTTTTCAAAAGTACTTATTTGGCTGTAAAGTGCTTTAGTATATCAAGGTTATGAATGCCACTACATAAATGGAAGTTTTTTCCTCCAATACATACGTTCTGATATGGTTTAAAGACAGCGAATGCAGGGAACACCAGAATGAGAAGAAAGGAAACTATATTTATTGTGAACCCAAAACTGCTTTGTGCTTCATTTCCCCATTTGTGATATCCTCCATTTCTCCTATTCTAACATTTGGAACATATTTTCCTCTCAGGAAGTGGGAGGTTAAAGATTTGCAAACCACCTATCATATATAAGTTGTTTTGCACTACAATGAGGCAAACTATTTTTAATTACCATGACATAGCTATGTATATATATAATTCCCATGAACTCCAAAATGAATGTAATGCCTTGTGAGCAACAATTAATACAAGGCTTTAAAGGCATGAATCTAACACATTTTTACGTAGGTTGAGAATGTGAGCAGTGCAACACTACAGTATTAGTACTGAGAGTAAACTATTCAAGTACTGAACACGGTAAATTGAAGAGTTATTTATTGTTATTGCAAATAGCAGACTCACTCACTGCAGACTTGAATACAACAGCAGTGCAGTAGGCAGCATACGGGCTCCTGTGCTCCGGCTTGACCTCTTCGTCTGCATTTTTTCTTTTTCTTTTTCTTTCTACCCCTTTCTTTTTTCCCCTCAAGCTTACCTGATAAAGAGAGTTCGTCAGCAGGAGGCGGCTTTGATGGGCTCCAGAGCGGCGGTTGCGTCTTCAGAGGCAGCGTGGCTAGAGTTAGTCTGTCCGCCTGTGAAAGCTGGAGCGGGACACCTCTGTGATAACAAGGTGTAGAGCTGGATGAACACAGCAGGCCAAGCAGCATCAGAGGAGCAGGAAAGCTGACGTTTCGGGCCTAGACCCTTCTTCAGAAATGCGTGACACCTCTGTGTCGAGTGGACCCGTGCGGCGGCATGGCCTGGGCTGGGAAGCCCGGAGCGGGACTCTGGCAGCAGTGTGGCATGGGCTGGGAAGCTTGGAGTGGGATTCTAGCGACACATGCTGTAGCAGCAAAGAAGGAAAAGTTGGACTCTAAGTTTTTTTCATTTTATTCGAAGTTGATGTGAATGGTGCCAATGTACAGGCAACACACTTTTCACTGTATTTAATATTGAATACACAGGTCAATAAAGGTTGTTCTACTTTATTCTGTAGTGTATTCTTGGAAAGTGCACTGGCTTCTGTTTGCTGCTGAGGTGTTATACACATTCCCCTCTCTTCCCCCACCCCCCTTCCAAAAAAAACATGCTGAGTACTTGTGTAAGCACCTTCTTCCTTTGTCCTCTACAAAATTTTCCTGGGGAGGTCATCACTTAGTTGTACACTGGGTGTCCCTTTTGTGCTTGACTTCCTCCAGCAGAACTCTCTTGTCTCAGTGTCAAACCAATACTTTGCTCTTTCTTCCTCTGTTTGGAATGGACATAAATTTAACATTCATACACTGTCTCACAAAAGTGGAACATACAGGATCTCCCCACTATAATTAAAATAAAAAGCATGTGTTCTCTTACCTTCCTCATACTTACTCAGCGGTTATACCAATTTAAAACAGGCACGTTGTGGTGCTAAGTATAATATCAGAGTAACTGACTTTTTTAATGCACGTCAAATTGCTTTTTTTAAACGTGTTGAGCAAGTGTTTGCATGATTTTAATATCAAATATAGTGAATATAGTTTGTGAAAATTTAAACAAGACACCAAGATTTATTGTTTACCCATTTCACTTCATGCAAATTTTTAAGTGAAATTCTTGGAGATGATAGGCAGCACATTATATACTGGAGACTTGCATTTCAGGTTCAGCTACCCTTTACACTCTCAATGGAAAAAAAAGACTAGGTGCTTTTTAATCCTAAAACAATTACAGATGAGAAAGTGGTAGGGGGTGTAGAGAAAGAGAAACAGACACAAGTAGTATGACAGCATAAGGTATTCCAGAGCCATAGAGACAAACAGAAATGTTTTTAAATTAATGGCAGCAAAGAATCGAAGTACGAGTGTGGTGCCGCAATCTTAAGCATTGAATTTGATGGATGATAACGGAATAGTTTAGGTTAGATGGGCTTCAGATTGTTGCGCCGACCTGTGAAACCATTGAGGGCCGAAGGGCCTGTACTGCGCTGTAATGTTCTATGTTCTATTTCACGTGTGTTGGAATTTAGCAAGTTTTGTCATAGCTCGCATTGGTAATCTGGCTTTGCTAATCAAACCAAAATGCTTTAAATATTTCTCTAATAAGCAAAATTAATCTCTGAAAAAGATCTTAAGTTTTCAAATTATTATTCAAAAGAGCAATTATTTTCCACTATAATCAGTTATTGCAAGGAGAATGGTACTGTCCAAAGACAATCATTCTAATATAAAATTTGAAGGACTCGATTATGGTCTAGGGTGTGAGATTACAAGAAAAAATACTTTTTTTAAATTGTTCTCAATATTTGGAACAAAGCAAAATAAATTGTTACAGCATGAATATAATTCCTCAAAATTGTACAGAAAATTAGGTTTTTGGATGTGTGGGAATGTCTTTATACTCTGCTCAGTCTGCAGTATTCAGGAATTGCACGCTGACAAAGATTGCTTTTGGAAAAATATAAACTGCAAATCTAACTTTGAAGATGGGTAAAGCAAAACGTGATGTGGAATAGGGTCAGTAAACAGGATTAAAACATTTACTCATGTTGAGGATGCTCATTGAAACTGATTAGTTGGGGCAAATAGTCTGGCTGATCCAACTCTGAATACACTGCTGCTCAAATACAAGAGTTCTTTTATGTAAGGTCAGCAGAGCACTTGTGCTTCTGAGGCCATGAATTGAACTTCACTTCACACCCGAATTTGATCTAAACTGACACTTCAGTGCTGTACCAAGGGATTACTGCTCTGAGAAAATAGCTGTCTTTCAGACAAGATATTAAAACAAGACCCTCGGTGCCTACTCTGGTTTAAACAAAAGTTTTCTCCGTGGCATCCAGGAAAATATTTTTCACTCCATCTTTAAATCAGACTCATTTAATTAATTAGTATTTGTGGGATCCCACTGTGCATAAGTTTCCTGCTAGATTTGCCACATTGTAACAGGGACTACACATTCATTTACATTCATTCATTTTAAGTGAAGTGCCTTTGGACATCATAAGATTGTGTAAGGTGCTAAATAAATTCACCTTCTTTCAGTATTGTTGGGTAAGGAAACTAGTTTATAATAAAACATTCAACAGGTACCATCCAGAAAGCAAAACAACTAAAGTCAGGTGGTATTTAATCAAATATTTATGAAGTTTACAACATTTATATAAAACAGAGCATTTATAGTAATATCAAAACTGTTTATATACAAATTGTTGTAGTTCAACAATGGAGATCAGCTCCATTTGCCAAGTTGGTCACTGTTTACATGTTATTCTTAAAATTATCACAATTCACCATAATTTCCTTTATTGATTTAATGTGTACTTTAACAAGGTAATTTTGGTTTTGTGCAAATAATACAAATTGCTCTCCAACACAATAAACATTGGGATATTACATGGACCAAATAAACTTGAGGAGGATCCAGTTATCTATATCACTGATTTTCAATTTTGTACCCATAATAATGTTCTAGATAGAACAAAGAATTAAAATAGAGTACTATATTTAACTAAGTACAACTATAAACAATGTTGGCAAGGAAAGCCTTTCCCAAAAGGGAAAACGTTAGGCTTTAAATATAGTGGTTTACCTTAAAGTGCATTGGGAAGAGAATTAATATTTCAACTAGTAGACCTTCAAGTAATATTTTTTGTTAAAAAGGGCAAGTTGTGTCTGAAGTAGCAAATACCAGACAAGGTTCCATTGGCTGGAGAGTATTTACATGTCCTGGGTAAAGCAGCAATCTTTAATATTGAGCTCAAATCAACAGAATTTTCTCCAGTTCTATTTTCACATGAAATACTATACAAATGTCAATTTTATGTCATATTCAAAATGCATTCTCTCTGCCCACCCAGACACACACACAATCTTTAGATTTACACAGTAAACAAGTAATTGCTGTTTCACGTTAAAAAGCTCAATTCTGGTCACAAAAAGCACAGAGATTGTTTCATGAACTTAAATGAATACAACTCTTTGAAATTCCATAACACTGTAAAGTCTCAATTCATTAGTGAAAGTTTAGCATTTGACAGAAACAGTTCACATTAGTAAACCCTGAGGAGTAGGTTTCAATGATTACACATTTCATTACAGTTTTAAACAAATATTGGGAGCTTGGTTTTTGTGAGAAAAAGCAATAAATCATTAACAGTTCTCAATCAAAAATGCAATACATTTAATTATCAAGTACTGTGTCCATTTTGTTGAACAAAAAAATATAAATTAAGCTGAAGCTACTATATATTCAAAATAATGTCAGATTTTCTGGACTGCTTACAGATCTGCAATTTTTCTTGCTGTCAAAGTTACAGTTTCGATGAAATTAAAAGGACGCCATTATATTAAAATAGACAAAGTACTTGACAGTGCTCCACAGATCTCTCTGGTAATCAACCAGGGTACATCATTCTCCCTGTCAACTGTCTGAGGTTGTACACAAACTTGCAGTCACATCTGACCTCCGAGATCAACTTCCAACCGTAGCATCACTAGGCCTCCTTAATTTACAACTCTAACATCACCTAACTTTCTATGCTGCTGTCTTTATTATCTCCAGACTAAACTAGTCCAGTGCACTCCTCGCTGGCCACCCACATTTTACCATCCATAACTTCATTAATCCGCTATAGGCAGCCGTGTCTTCAAACGTAAACATCCCAAGCTCCAAAATTCCTGCTCTAATCTTCTCTGCCTTTCTTTCCTCCTTTAAGTGCTCTGTTAAACCTGTCTTTGATGAAGCTGCCCAAGAATCTTTGCAGCTGTGTGTAAAAAGTTGTTATATAATGTTCATATGAAGTGCCTTGGAATGCTTTATTAAGGTAAAGATCTATATAAATGCAAGTTTTTGATGACTGTATTTCTTAAACATTTTGGAAACAACAATGCTATCTTTTAGAAACAGTTACAATTTTTAGAATTGGAATTTTTAAAATGTACTTTTGTTACTTTTATTTTTGAGGGTCTTAAATGTCCTCACTTAACAGATGCTGAACCTCCTGTCCATTGTTATTACAAGATACCAAAGACTGGATTTTTTCTCGTTGATACTGCCGAGCCTGATTATACAAGAACACTCCAATGATGACCAATGCTGTCCCAAAGGCAGAGTATGCAGTAATCCTGTTGCTGAAGATGATGATGCTGAGCCAAATTGAAAGGGCATGCTTCACAGTGCTGGCAACGCTAAATTGATGGAAGCAAATAATTAAACATTAAACACTAAACACTATCAGGACCAATTTTTCATTCCATATTGCAAATATTCACTCACTCACTCCAAATTTTCAAGCTTCCATATTTCACCTCATCATTAAAATAATTATCAAACAGCATTAAGAAAAACAGCTGTTTTATGGAATGTTGAATCAACCAGGCATAAACTTTATGAAGTGACGGGGAAAGCAAAGATTTTCAGTACTATTAGTTTTTATAATCAACTATAAATAATAGAAACAAAATCATAAATTCCTGGAAAAACTCAGCACAGGCAGCATCTGTGGAGAGAATTCAGAGTTCACGTTTTGGGCACTGGGACCCCTTTCTTCAATATTATATTCTACATTCTATTATAAGTAATAGAATCTGAATAATCAATCTTTAAAATAGCAATGAATACAAAGCTGCATGTGGCAGGTTGAAATGCTCACGTATGTGGCAAAGCATTTTATTCTACACCTTGGTATTAGTTCTCTGTATACATAGAAAAAATGACAGACAAAAAAAGGGAAGAATTTAAAAACAAACTGAAAATGCAATGTACTATGTAGCCTTAGAGAAAGGCAGCAAATATTTGTTAATCCATATTTAGATTTTTGATTCAAATTATGATGAGATGTAGGAGTCAAGCACAAACTTCGGTTCGGCATTTTTAGTGATGGAAGAAATGCATAGTATCACAAACAGCAGAAAATGTAGCTTCTATATTTCAGCAGGTTATAGCAATGTTTACTGTACTGATGTATTCACAACAGCAAATTTTACATGAACACCTCATCTGAAACTAATACCAAGATTTTATTCAGGATTTACATCCAATTGGCATGAAGCATTTTTTGCAGTGAAAGATACAGCATGTATCTTAGAAACTGTAAACAAATGATATCTTTTTCTAATAAAAGCAAAATACTATCATTTTGGAAATGTGAAATACACAGAATTGAAGAATCATACTGGACTCGAAACGTTAACTCTGTTTCTCTCCCCACAGATGTTGTCAGACCTGCTGAGTTTCTCCACCACTTTCTCTGTTTTATGATATCTCATTCTAATCATTCTCTGGAGCTCAATTATTAGTTAGTGCATGTCAATTTAGATAGGATATGTAAATTACTCTGAAAACCACTGAACAGAACATAATTTTTATACACTCACTCAACCTCCCTTTTCATGGGGAAATTCTTCTACTGGTCACACTGGTGTCAGCTTAGTATTTCTGACCAACACTTTGTTCATTTTTTCATATAGCAACACTAGTACTCCTCCTCACTTCCCACCACCACACTTTCTATGTGCTTCTCATTTTGATTTGTGATGTTTGCTCTTATTAAGCTATTAGCTCCAAGTCAGAATGTCATGCTTCAGTCCCACCCCAGATACTTAAGAGAAATGAAGGATTACCACGCCAAGCCTTTACGTGCTTTACCCTCTCTGCCAAAGCTTAAGGCTCATAGTATTTCTATCTTGTTTTGTCTTTTAGTGCAGACACAAAGCCAGGTTGTTTGTCCTAGTTGTCAGCAATGGTCAGTCGAAGAGTTGGATAAATTGCTGTAGGGCACCATGCAATGATACACCAGCAGCATATGCCAGCAACTTTCAGAGAAAACACACTGGTACTACTCATTCTTTGACTGTAAATTTGTTGTTGTGTGAATGGCAAGCAGTCCCCGTCTATTCCCAGAAGCAACTGAAGTTTTTATAGCTTGCTTTTCTTCACTGTTGCTATTGTTGAATAAAAGTGAACACTTCAACTGTGTGAATGCTTTCTAGTATTTGATGATCTCACAACATAGTATAACATCTTCTCATTGCTCAATGGGCAAAACAGAAAGAGGACCACTCCCTTAGACAGGGTTCTAAGATGGGATAATGCAAGGATGGATAACTTGTGAAGCTCGGCTCTTAGAGCTGTAGTTACAAGAAGTGTAAATCAACTCAGCTCGGCTGGTTAGCTCAGTTAGCTGGACAGCTAGTTTGCGATGCAGAGTGACACCAGCTGAGGTTACCAGGAGGCTGAGGCATGGTCACCCTCAATTTAAACTCACCACCAGCCATCTCTCTCTAATGAGAGAGAGAGAGTAGCCCTATGGTCCTTTGGGATTATGGAGACTTTACCAATACTGATCAGACAGGTGATGACATGAAATTTCAATGTATTTACAAATGTGGTGTTTGCAATGAAGTGTCAGCTGTGCCAGGTACGTGTCTGCAGAAGAGTTTTTGTTCTTCACATGCACTATGAAGGATGGCAGCCAGAAATCCCAGAAGGTACTGGCAGTGGCAAGTGCTACCACTTCTTCATTATATGTTGTTTAATGGCCGTTTTCAAAGAGATTTCTCACTTGTATGTTGAGATTCACTAAAGCAAGTCATAATATCAATAAGTGTGAGATTCACCTCAAACCTTCAGACTGTCCTAGTTTATGCTTTAAAGGATGAGAATAATTTATAGTTCTAGTGGAGCAATTTTGCAATTAAGAGCACAGAACCTACATGTAAGTCAACATAGACATTGTAAATATACAGCTAAATTTGCTGGTACTTTCACAATTCTCAATAACATTAACAAAAGGAAAATAGACTCTGATATTCCAAAACAGTTGCATTTAGTAAATTGGTTGAACACCATGCTTTCTGCTTAAGACTCTTGATTTAGTATCTTCTAAACCTCCATATGGAATATAGTATCCAGTGCTGGCACACCTTTAGTTTTCTATTCAAATTTGTACTAATTATTTTACTTATTTTTATTTCGCTACACATTAGCCTACCTGAAAGTAACAGGTGATATCTTTCCCATTAAAGCATATGCAGTCACGCTCTGAATATGGAATAAGATTCCATCAATAAGCAGCAGCAACACAATATCTTGGTCAAAATTGAAACTTTGTCCACTTTTCCCAAGGACTGGAATATCCTACAAGACAAAAGTACAAGAGCAGGGTTATTTACCTTAAGATCAATTGCACAAAAGCAATCAAAACTCAGTCTGCTTTGGGTCTATATATTAATCATTAGATTACAAAAGGAAATTAACAAGGCCAAGAGATAACATAATTGCAAACGCCATTCATCTATCAACTAGCATACTTAATATTAGCACCATCATAACAATATTAAGTATGGGTACAAAAAGTATCACGACACATCAAGAGGGCCACTTGCCAGTTGCACAGAACCCTTTGGGTGTTTTATAGTAAATGTTGATCACCTCTGCTGTTGCCAAAGAACAAAAGATGATGTATCCATCCACACTACATCTGCTCCACAATGCCTGTCCAATTAATCTTCACTTGTGATATCCTTCTGTGCACACTAAGTTTATGGCTATAAGACATTTATGGCAGTAATTTCTGCACCTGTCACCATCAGGCTATTTTCACATTTTGGAAGTCTGTCATTTCTTCTGTTTTGACTGTGTGTGTCTGTTGTAGAGGTTTCATGCATCCATCTGTATGTCCTTTTCATGATGTGGCATTGGATTAGTATGAAGGGAATCTGAGAAGTCAATTATAGGATAACGACAGTGTGCATGAGCACTTTTCAGGTGGTGGTGATATGAATTCTGAGACAGAAATTGAAGTGAGCAAACTTGATTAAGGATACAATAAATTTCAAACAATTAAAGCTCAAACAGTAAATGAAGTTCTAAAGAGTTGATACTAGATTCAAAACGTTAACTCTGTTTCTCTCTTCACAGACACTGCCAGATGTGGACAGGGTGGTGAAGGCAGCTTTCGGCATGCTTGCTTTCATTGATCAGAGCACAAAGTGTAGGTGTTGGGACATCTTGTTGCAGCTTTACAAGATGTTGGTGAGGCCACAATTGGAGTACTGCGTGCAGTTCAGGTTGCCTAACAATAGAAAACATATTATTATACTAGAAAGAGTGCAGAAAAGATTTACTAGGATGCTACTGGGACTGAAAGGTTTGAGTTATAAGGAGAGGTTGGGTAGGCTGGGACTCTTTTTTTTTCCCTGGAGCATAGGAGCCTGAGGGGTGACCTTATAGAGTTCTATAAAAGCATGAGAGGCAGAGACAAGGTAGGTAGCCAATAGCTTTTCCCATGGTAGGGAAGATTAAAACTACAGGGCATTGGTTTAATGTGAGAGAGGAGAGATAACAAAGGATCCAGGGGGCAATTTTTTTCACACAGACGGTGGTGAGCGTCTGGAATGGGTTGCCAGAGGTAGTGGTGGAAGCAAGTATAATGTCTCATTGAAGTAACATTTAGACAGGTACATGGATGGGATCAGAATGGAGGGATATGGACTAAATGCAGGCAAATGGGACTAGTTTAATTATGGAAACTAGGCAGCATGGGCAAGTTGGGCTGAGGGGCCTGATTCCATGCTGTAGACCTCTATGACCTGAGTTTATTCAGCACTTTGCTTTTATTTCGAGGATGGCGTTACCTCTATGATTCATCCTGAGTTATCAGATGGGTACAGAAACGCAATCAATGATTTTTCAGCACAGACTAAGTAGCTTTAGTCATTCTCATGGTTCAGTCAAGTTCTGACTAATCCACAACCTAATGTTAGAAAAACAAATTATCAGGACAAAGTTCTAACGGAGTCAAGGTTGGTGTTGAGGAGATGGATCTATAGCTAGATGTAATTAACATGGCTAAGGAGAACGTGCAAATTAGCAAAAGGAAGGGGTCGAGAACAGCACCTTGGGCAATTCCTGACATGTCCATGAGAAAAAAAAAACATTCTTGTGGTGGGTCTATGATTCTGCAGTTGGGACAAGACTGTTCATTTCAGTTGTGTAAACACGAGAAGTTAGCCATTAAACTTGCTTGCTGAATCTCAGTGTTAAACGTAGAATCCAATATGCCTAAAAAGCAAATTCCAAGTTGTAGTATAAAAGCAGAACAGCACATGGCGAATGCTCTCCTGAAATAGGATGAAATCTTAAAATTGCAAATAAAAGCCTCATAATCATTCAAAAATCATCTTATGAGTACTGGCTAAATTCTTTAAGCTTTTGTGAACAGCAATAATAATTCAAGTCAAAAGTTAACTTAAAAATCATCTGCTTAAAGGCACTTTACAACATGGGCGCATATCCATAAAACCTCACTCATATATCCATTGTTACTTAAAACACAAAAAGATATCATGATAATCTGGGCCCTTCTAACAAATCTTCTGACAAAATGATAGTCAAAACCTCTGACATGAGGTTAACATGCACGTTGCTGCACTAGGTGCTGTCAGAGAACCAGA